TAGTCTTCGATGAATTTATGATAGTAATTCAGGCTGCCCAAGAAAGATTGCACTCCCTTCAGGGTGGTTGGGAACGGTAAATCCTGGACACCTTTAGCGATCTTCGGTGTTGCCCTGATTCATTCAGCGCTAATTTCGTGCGACAGAAACGGAATGGACAGTTTCCCGAACTTGCTCTTCGGTAGACTCACTGAGATATTCCAATTTCGCAGCCTGTATAACAAAGCATCCAGATCAGTACACAATGCATCCCAAGTTGGTGCACCATGTGCGATATCGTCGATATAAGAGCTGCGCCCTCGGACAGGTGACATCTGGGTTGGAGCAGGGATGTTCCTTTTGAACACTGTCATTTGGTCCGCCAGGGTCGGCAACGGCCGAGAGGCATGGTCATCTTCACAACCGGTGCACCCTGGGGTGCCACACCCTGGAGGTCCGTCATCCTGGGGGTCCAAGTTCAGGTAATCCAAAACTTCTTGATCTACTTCCGCCTCCTCTTCTGGTGGCAGACGCACGAATCCCCACAGGCAATTATTGATCACTTGCTGGTAAATCAGGGGTGCGTTTTTCAGACCAACTGGCATTCGAATCCACTGAAAATGCCCAAACGGACATACGAAAGCTGAAATCAACTTTGCTCTTTCGGTCATCTTGATTGCCCAGAAACCGCTGGCCATATCCAGGCTCATGAACCAGAGTGCCTTCTCGAAACCGACTAGCAAGTCGTCGATGAGAGGTAGCGGATAACTAGGCAGTTGGATGAAATTATTCACAAGTCGATAGTCAATACGCATCCTGATGTCCACTCCATTTTTCTTGAGCACGATCACGATCGGAGATGCCCACTGCGACTCAGAATGTTCAATCAAATTGTTCTCGAGCAACTTCTTGAGGAGATCGTATACCTTGACTGCCACGTGCGGTCCAATTGACCTTGGGCGCAACGCGATAGGTTTGACACCGAGGTCACATACTATTCCTCTAGCGGGAGCAGGAGCGGCATTTCCGTCGCCCAGGAAAAACTTCCTATGGCGCTTCAGGATTGCGTGCATCCTGGATTCATCTTCGGGAGAGGTATGACCTGGGACTCCTACATCGGCCTGATCGATGTCGCATTCTGGGTGCAATTCGCTCAATTCTGGTAGCATAACCAACCCCGCAATTGTGCCAGCATCTCGCTCCCTTCATGTATGTACACTCCTGGCTCCAAGTCCAGGTCCTCCGCGCTAACCCTCATGCAGCGTTCGTATTCCATCTCCAACTTCTCGAGTGGGGTCCAGGACGCTGGTTCTGGGGAAGATCCTGAAGTATCCTGTTCAGGGTGTACCTCTGCGAGCGTTTCACCGCCCTGGACTTCCTCGAATTCCGTAGTCCATTATGGAGGCACATCCACAAGAATATCACCTCTGTCACCATCCTGGGTGTCGCCATCACCAGGATTACATCCCGGACTGTCTAGTTGACTTTCGCTGACTTGTGTGGAGGCATCCATCCTGGTCGTCACCGGGGGACTTTCTTCTGTCTGTGTATCTGTATCCACTAACTCTCCACGATTCAACACCTTGAAACGCGGTGGGTCTTGCAGCTGCGCCATTCTGACTTCAGCGGACCCTGGTTGAGGCCTTAGCATGATCTTGGTCGGCCATTGGTACTCCATCTTCGACACACACGGGGGCTCTCGGTCTCGCAGTGCCTGTTCCCTTCTCTCGGCCCTGAGTCTGTCCTGTTCTGACTGGGCGTGCTCCAGGATCAGAGTCTGCCATTCACGATAAGCTCGCGTTCCGGGGCGAACGAAACGCCCGGCCTGCGGAAACGATCCATACTGCACGATCCTGGCTAGCGGTGTTCTCATATCGATCCAGACACTGTGTTTCGACACATTCACGACTTTGATCGCCACTGGCCAGGATCTGGCCTGATACACGATCTTGGTCACCCACCTGTCACCTCGTCCAGCCCAGACAACTTCTCGTTCTGGATTCGTATATCCATATTGGATACGCACTACCGCGTGCTCTCCGGGCATGAGATACAAATTTTCTGGGGACGTGACAGGAAAGTCCACACTCTGGGGTACCCTGACACTTTCATCGTACATCAGGATAGACTCCTCGTCTGGAAGCTGCATCAAACCTTCTCGAACAGAGACGCGCACTCCTGCACGAAACATGAAATCCATGCCCAGGAGCACA